CACTACATGAATGATATATTTTATTCATTTTAGAGTATATATCAGGTTTCTATGTTATTTATATTGTTTATTATGTCATATTAGTTGAAGTGAAATAGATAAATAAGCCTAGGTAGTAGGTTGGTAGACAGCAATCGCCCAGGGAGGTACTACCGTCCTGCCAAGTGAGTGTAAAACGAAAGCCTGTAATTGTTTTACATGATGGTAGAATTGCTGGTGTCTTTTGTCTGTCTCATAAACATGCAAGATTTCAGGTATGTCTTGCTACTTCTACTTACACTTAGGTCACACTGTACATACATGTACAAGCATATATATACACACACCCCTCTGGGTTTTCTTCTATTTTCTTTTTAGTTCTTGTTCTTGTTTATTTCCTCTTATCTCCATGGGGAAGTGGAACAGAATTCTTCCTCCGTACGCCATGCGTGTTGTAAGAGGCAACTAAAATGCTGGGAGCAAGGGGCTAGTAACCCCTTCTCCTGTATATACATGTATTACTAAATGTAAAAGGAGAAACTTTCGTTTTTCCTTTTGGGCCACCCCGCCTCGGTGGGATACGGCCAATGTGTTGAAAGAAAGAAAGATAAATAAGCCGTCTAGTTGATATTAGCGAAATTATTGAAGTACAGAATTCCACTGGAACGGATTAATTGCATTTCAGTTAATTTAAATGAGGAAAATTGACTCTGCAAACGAGCAAATTCAGTTGCAAGCAAGGTCATGGAATGGATTAAACTCGCAAGTAGAGGTTCCACTGTACTCAAAAATTATTGTGGCTTCAAATCAAGCGGGTGAAAGCTGGTAGACCCACATGTGAGAGAATGAGTCTGTGTGGTCAGTGTGTGTAGTATAAAAAAAATCCTGCAGAAAGCAGTGCATAATGAGAAAAAAAAAACTCCAACTGTGTTTTTGGATTAAAACGCCGACTTTGGGGTGTATTTTCGTATAGTTTTTATGGTTATTTTCTCGTTTTCGTAGTCACATTTGATAGAATGGAAAACTATATTACAGAAATGGAGGTGATTTTGATTGGTTTTACTATGAAAAGGACCTTGAAATGGAGCTCAAGGTAGGGGAAATGTTTGATTTTTGCTAATGTTAAAGAGTAAACAATAAATGTCCAACTAGCCATTTTAATATGCAGTCATGAATGGGTTGACATTCTGTATACAATTAATACAATAAATGTCCAACTAGCCATTCTAATATGCAGTCATGAATGGATTGACATTATTTATACAATTATTACAATATTGCAGTAGTCTGCATAACAGTAAATAGTCTATTTTTTGTTTGAATAAAAATTCAAAACAGAAAGCAAGAGTAATATCAGAGGGGCCTGGAGACGTGACTGATGAACAAAGAAAATGTTATTTTAGAGCCAGGAATGTCTGCATTGTTTATTCTGGATCCTGTTTTGAAATTGGCTTATTTTTTAATTTGCGTGAAATTGGCCAAATTGCCAATTTCTGACCACTTTATTGGATAGTTGAAATTGATAAATGGGCATTTTCTTGTACTCAATTAATGGAACAAATGGAGTTCTAAAGAAATAGCTATGAGTTTAGTTCACTGGAACAATGGAATTGGCCGAAAATAGGGCTCAATGTGGGCGAAATTGCCAATTCATAAATATTGCCGAGGTCGCTAACTTCGTGGGTGCGTAATTCCATAAGTTTTCCATCTAATTTCATATTTTTGGTGTCATTACCATTGGGAAAAGATTCTCTATCCTTTCATTAGATTTTTTTTTTTTTTTTTCAAATATTTTGCGACACCAGGAGACACCTCAGGATTTGGGGTTGCGACAGTCAAAGGGTTAAGGTAAATAAATACACACATTGAAAGACAAGTTGAAGTAAAATTTTTAGGTACACACCTTGACAACAGACTAAAATTCAACACATATCTAAAGAAAATTCTAAAACAGTGATTATTCTTTTAAAAATATGTAGTGTGTACCTCAAACAACACTATTCACTCTATACTACTCTCTGATCTATCCTTACCTCACTTATGGTATAGGTGCACTGGGTTGTACTACAGCAATTCACCTAAAAGTTATTGCAACTGAACAAAAATCTGCTGTTAGAATGATCACTCACTCAGATTCTAGAAAACACATGCTATACTGTTATAAGTTTAAATTTATTCAACTTACAAAACATCCACATTATAACTATGTATACAGTATATACAATACACTCAGTGCAAATATTAATTCAGTACTAAAGCTTCTTATAATAGAATAAATAGACACAATACAGGAAACAAATATCTCTTTGATGTTCCACATGTTTAACTCAACCTTAGTAGAAATACTTGGTAAATACGTATAAATGCCTCAAAATTTGGAAAAAATACCAGAAGATTCTAAAAGTTTCCTATATGCCAACGTCTTCAAAACTGTTAAAAAAGCAGTTACTGAATGTCATGTAAATTTACATTGAAAGAACATAAACAAAATTTTTTTTTTTTTTTAACTTGTTGCCATCTCCCTCTGAGGCAGGGTGATCAAAAAAAAAAAAAAACTTCTACCATCATTCACACCATCATTGTCTTTGCAAAGAGGCACAGATGCAACAGTTCAGATGCATGTCTCCGAGCTGGCCAGGTTGTATAACAAGCCCCATACAACCATTGCTACCATCTTGGCCAAGAAAAAGGCAATCAAGGAAGCTGTTGTTGTGAAAGGTGCAAATATGCTTACAAAACAGAGATCGCAAATGCTCAAAGATGTGGAGAGATTGTTGTTGGTGTGGATCAATGAGAATCAATTACAACTTTATCAGGAGATAGTGTTTCACAGTCAGTTATATGTGAAAAGGCAAGGCAGTTGCATGATAATCTCGTTAAGAAAATGCCTGGAAATAGTGCTGATATTGGCGAATTTAATAAGGCCAGCAAAGGTTGGTTTGAGAGATTTAAGAATCGTAGTGGCATACACAGTGTGATAAGGCACGGTGAGGCTGCCAGTTCTGAGAAAAAAGCGGCTGAAAAATATGCTCAGGACTTCAAGGGGTACATGGAGGCTGAAAAATTAAAACCCCCAACAAGTGTTCAACTGTGACGAAACAGGCTTGTTTTTGAAAATGCCAAAGAGGACCTACATTACTCAGGAGGAAAAGGCACTCCCAGGACACAAGCCTGTGAAAGACAGGCTAACTCTCATGTTTTGTAGTAATGCTACTGATGATTGCATAGTGAAGCCTTTTCTCGTGTATCACTCTGAAAATCTCAGTGTTCAAGAAAAACAGTGTCGTCAAAACTAAATTGTGTGTGATGTGGAGGGCAAACAGTAAGGCATGGGTCACGAGGGACATTTTCCTTGACTGGTTCCATGACGTGTTTGGCCCTAGTGTGAAAAAATACCTCCTGGAAAATAAATTGGAACTCAAGTGCCTCCTGGTAATTGACAATACTCCTGCTCATCCTCCAGACTTGGAAGAGCAAATGGTGCTGGAGTTTAACTTCATCAGAGTGAAATTCTTGCCCCCTAATACCACTCCTCTCCTCCAGCCCATGGACCAGCAGGTCATTTCAAATTTCAAAAAACTGTACACCAAAGCAGTGTTTCAAAAGTGCTTAGAAGTGACATCAGACACTGAATTGACCCTCAGAGAGCTCTGGAAAGATCACTTCAGTATCCTCACTTGCATAAACCTTATAGGTAAGGCGTGAAGGGGAGTGACTTGCAGGACTTTGAACTCTGCTTAGAGAAAATTGTGGCCAAAATGTGTACAAGAAAGGGACTGTTCTTATTTTGAAGGGTTTGGGGCTGACCCTGAGGAGCCCATGCCAGATGTAGAATCTACTGGGCATTGGGGAAGTCCATGGGGTTGGAGGTTAGTGGCGAGGATATGGAAGAGTTGGTGGAGGACGACGATGAAGAGCTAACCACTACAGAGCTGCAAGAGCTTGAGGTGCAACACCAACAGAACACAGCTCAGGAATTTCCTTTAGAGGAGGAGGAAGAGAGATGGGGGAAGGTGCCTTCTTCAAAGATTAAGGACATTTGTGCAAAGTGGACTGAAGTGCAAACACTTATGGACGAACATCACCCTGACACAGCTGTTGCAAGCCGTGCTGGCAACATGTACATTGACAATGTTGTGTCCCATTTTAGGGAAATCTTAGACACACCAGAAACAGAGCTCTCTGGACAGTCGTTTGGTGTGACAGGGGTCCATTGACTCTCAAGCTGGTGCCAGTGTCATTAAAAAACAAAGAAAGGATGTAACCCTGAAAAAGTACCTGGTACCTATAGTCCTTATGGAAGGGGATTCCCCTTCCAAACAGTAGTACACCTCTATCCTCTCCCCTCCTCCCAGCTCATCACTCATCAGTAAGTCTTCAGTAAAGGTAAGTGTCATTTTAGTATTGTTTATTCTGCATGTCTCATTGTTTTCTGTGTAGGAAAATGTATATTTCATGTATAAAAATTTTTTTTTTAATACTTTTGGGTGTCTGGAACGGATTAATTGGGTTTCCATTATTTCTTATGGGGAAAATTAATTTGGATTTAATCAGATTTGGTATAAGACACGCTCTCTGGAACGGATTAATTACATTAACCGAGGAACCACTGTATATGCCCCTCTGGCTTTTCTTCTATTTTATTGCTAGTCGTTGTTCTTGTTTGTTTCCTCTTATCTCCACGGGGAAGTGGAACATAATTCTTCCTCCGTAAGTCATGCATGTTGTACGAGGCGGCTAACATGCCGGGAGCAAGGGGCTAACAACCTCTTCTCCTATATACATTACTAAAGTTAGAAAGAGAAACTTTTGTTTTTCTTTTTGGGCCACCCTGCTTTGGTGGGATACGGCCAGTTTGCTGAAAGAAGATGTGTGTAAATGAAAAACGACTTGTATATGGGGTTTGCTACTATCCCCAGTTTCAGGTATCCATGGTAGGTGTTGGAACAACACCTGCCAATACGAGTGACTACTGTATAATGTACAGAATAATGAAATATATATGTATAAACTTTTTTCAGACTGTGGTGAAGCAGGTTCTTGGATCCAATGCAATGCATTCACTCTCACCTCAACATCTGAGGCAGCTGTGCAGTATTCTTGCTCATCAGTCAGGTGTTAATGGCATTTCCTTCAGTTACCCCACCAATGTTGAGATATCACGTACTGTGCATACCATTACTATGGCAACAGGGGGTGATGACAACAAACTTAGTATATGGGATGTGCTGGTAGATGTTTCAGAAAACACCAAAATTAAAATAACTAACAAATGCAATGTGTGTGGTCATTCTGCACAAATTACAGGTTAGTAATTTCTTTGTGCCTTTTCTTAATGACATTTTATGAGCTCTGTGAGTTTATCATAATATCTTGCCTTTTCGCTTGTATTTGTTTTCCTCTGTGAATATTCTTTGATTTACTGGTGCAATAAAGTATAGTGAACACTGATCAGCGAGAGAGAAGATCACAAATAAAACAAAATCAAGGAAGATAGTAGACTCCATTCTTTCTCATTTTTGTACCATGGGATTTCCTCTCTCATTCTTTGATCTACACACTTTTCCATGCCCATGCTCTAAAATTACTCCATCTAGTCATACTTATTAGATGAAGTCATCTATTTTAGCCAAAATTTTATTGATCATCAGAACATGAAGAGTAAGAGTGTTGAAAAATGCAGATGTCTTGGCAACTCTAAGTACTGTAAACTATTTACTTATGTATAACAATCTGACTTTAAATTCTTCTAATAGGGATAGCCCATTTATGTTTTTTGGGGGGAAATTTATCATGCTCCTAATAATATAGTCATCATTACAGATAACACATTCGTCATTATAGTTAAATTTGTCATTATAAATACAGTGGACCCCCGGTTAACGATATTTTTTCACTCCAGAAGTATGATCAGGTGCCAGTACTGACCGAATTTGTTCCCATAAGAAATATTGTGAAGTAGATTAGTCCATTTCAGACCCCCAAACATACACGTACAAACGCACTTACATAAATACACTTACATAATTGGTCACATTCGGAGGTAATCGTTATGCGGGGGTCCACTGTACTGGTATATATTGGAGAGTGAGCAGGGTTAAATTTTATGAAGGGATTCATGGAACCAGTTAGACAGATGAGGCTTGGAGGTGGGAGGTACAGTGCCATCTAAAGGAGGGGCTTGAGATATTTGCTGTTTAGAGTGACTTCTAAATTGTCATATCTGTGCACCTCTGGCAAAACAGTGATACAGTGGAACCTCGGCTTACGAATTTGATCTGTTCCATGACCTTGTTCATATCCTGATTTGTTCGTATGCTGAATCAATTTCCTCATTTAAATTAATTGAAATGGCATTAATCTGTTCCAGCAGAATTCTTGCTCTCAGGAGGCACAACAAAATACTTCAGTATGACACTAATATCAACTCTACGGCTTATTTATCTATCACAATTCATCTAATTTCACCATCACTCAAGGAATGCACAACAGATGCATCATTGTCAATGTTCAGCATTTCTTCAGTATCAGCTTCCTGTAACTCCATTAGCACACAGTCAGGATGAGTGAATAGGGAGGAAATGGTATGGTGATACCGACAAGATGTGGAAAAAGTGGCCACTTGTGGTGAAACGTTTCCTTTAATAAATGTCCAGAACTGTACATAAGTGTCTTTTTCCACATGAGTGAATAGAATTGTCAACGCTTCTTGCTTGGGTACGTTTATTCTTTTGGGTTGGATTTGTGAAGGACCTGCCTGGTATGGGCCAACAAGCCTACTGCAGTGTTCCTCCTTTCTTACGATATTATGTACCCATGACACCAATCATACCCATCCCCTCCCACTCATATATTTGTCCAGTCTCTTTTTAAAGCTACCCAAGGTCCTATCGAAGCTAAAACCTTGGGTAGTTTCAAATTTAGGTTGCATAAATACATGAGTGAGAGGGGTTGGATTTGTGTGGGACTTGCACGTGAATAAACAGAATTATTAAAGCTTATTGCTTGGGTAGCGTTAGTGGGTTGGATTTGTGAAGGACCTGCCAAGTATGGGCCAACAGGCCTGCTGCAGTGTTCCTTCTTTCTTATGTTCTTATGTTGATGAGTGGAACAGTCTGCCTAGTTTTTTTTTATTATTATTATTATTAGCACACTGGCCGATTCCCACCAAGGCAGGGTGGCCCGAAAAAGAAAAACTTTCAACATCATTCACTCCATCACTGTCTTGCCGGAAGGGTGCTTTACACTACAGTTTTTTAAACTGCAACATTAACACCCCTCCTTCAGAGTGCAGGCACTGTACTTCCCCTCTCCAGGACTCAAGTCTGGCCTGCCGGTTTCCCTGAATCCCTTCATAAATGTTTCTTTGTTCACACTCCAACAGCACGTCAAGTATTAAAAACCATTTGTCTCCATTCACTCCTATCAAACACGCTCATGAATGCTCGCTGGAAGTCCAAGCCCCTCGCACACAAAACCTCCTTTACCCCCTCCCTCCAACCTTTCCTAGGCCGACCCCTACCCCGCCTTCCTTTCACTACAGACTGATAAACTCTTGAAGTCATTCTGTTTTGCTCCATTTTCTCTACATGCCCGAACCACCTCAACAATCCTTCCTCAGCCCTCTGGACAACAGTTTTTGCAATCCCGCACCTCTTCCTAACTTCCAAACTCCGAATTCTCTGCATTATATTCACACCACACATTGCCCTCAGACATGACATCTCCACTGCCTCCAGCCTTCTCCTCGCTGCAACATTCATCACCCATGCTTCACACCCATATAAGAGAGTTGGTAAAACTATACTCTCATACATTCCCCTCTTTGCCTCCAAGGACAAAGTTCTTTGTCTCCACAGACTCCTAAGTGCACCGATCACCCTTTTCCCCTCATCAATTCTATGATTCACCTCATCTTTCATAGACCCATCCGCTGACACGTCCACTCCCAAATATCTGAATACATTCACCTCCTCCATACTCTCTCCCTCCAATCTGATATCCAATCTTTTATCACCTAATCTTTTTGTTATCCTCATAACCTTACTCTTTCCTGTATTCACTTTTGATTTTCTTCTTTTACATATCCTACCAAATTCATCCACCAACCTCTGCAACTTCTCTTCAGAATCTCCCAAGAGCACAGTGTCATCAGCAAAGAGCAACTGTGACAACTCCCACTTCATGTGTGATTCTTTATCTTTTAACCCTTTCAGGGTCGACAGGCCCTCTCAGAGACTTGTTCTCAGGGTCCCCCGAATTTAAAAAAAAAAAAAATCTTTTCTTATGAAAAGATAGAGAATCTTTTCCCGGTCATAATGACACCAAAAGTATGAAATTTGATGGAAAACTTACGGAATTATGCTCTCGCAAAGTTAGCGGTCTCGACGATGTTTACGCATCGGCGATTTTGCCCACTTTGAGCCCTATTTTTGGCCAATTCAGTGTAGTTGTCGACAAAAATCATAACTATTTCGCTAGAACTCCATTTTTTCTATCGAATGAGTACAAGAAACCACCCATTTACCAATTTCAACTATCCAATACAGTGTTCAGAATTTAGCAATTTTGCCAATTTCACACAAATTTCAAAAGATGCCAATTTCCGAATAGGGTCCAGAATAAACAAGGAGGACATTCCTGGCACTAAAATAAGATTTCATCTGTTCATTAGTCACATCCAATGCCCCTCTTACATTCTTGTGCTTTCCACTTTGACTTTTTATTCTCACAAAAAAAAAAATTGAAGATTTACTGTTATGTAGACTACTGCATTGGTGTAGAAATGGTATAAATAATATCAGCGCACTTGTGAAAGAATATTAGACTCACCAGTTGACGTGTATTGGATGCTTGGCATGATTTGTTCACTTTAGAACTTTGGTAAAAATTGAACATTTCTGCTATTTTGAGCTCAATTTCAAGGTACTTTTCTTTGTAAAACCAGTCAAAATTCATTCAATTTATGAAATATGTTTTCCCATTCTATAAAATGGAAGGAAAACTAAAATACAAAATAATACTATACGAAAATGCAGGCAAAGTCGCTTTTTTAATCCAAAAACAGGGTCAATGTTTTTTTTTTCTCATTTCGCACGTGTGGCGGTTTTTTTTATACCTCGCACATGACCACTTGGACCCATTCTTTTATATGTTGCCTCAGTTTCTCTCACTAGATTTGAGGGCACTAAAATTTAGGCGTGCTAGTACGTAAAAAAACCCTGGGTCGAAGCCGTACTAGTACGGCCGAACCCTAAAAGGGTTAACTCCACCCCTCTTGCCAAGCCCCTGCATTTACTTTTTGAAAACCCCATTTTAAAAAATTATTAAACAACCCGGTGACATACACATTTTGTTAAGGCCTACTTTTACGGGGAAAAAAAATCTCCCTTTTCCTAATACTCTAACTTGAACCTCATTCTCTTTAAAAACTTCACTGCTTTCAGAAACCCTACCTTTACCATACACTTGCAACATCCCCCACATTGCTCCCCTATCCCCCTGTCTCCCCTTTTTCCCAAAACCCCAAAAAATGCCACAAAAACCTTTTTAGCCTTATCTAAATACTGTTCACTTTTGTTTCACTGTAAACCTGGTCCAACCCCCCCTCCCTTCCCCAAAAAGCCTTTTTTTCATCTGCTATCCTTTTCCCCCATCTTACTTTTAATTTTTCAAAAATAACCTACCATACCTTTACGGGTTTAAAATCAACAGACTTTTCTTCTTTAAAACCCGGGCCGTATCCCACCGAGGCGGGGTGGCCCAAAAGGAAAAACGAAGCTTCTCCTTTTACATTTAGTTTAATACAGGAGAAGGGGTTACAGCCCCTTGCTCCTGATCAAAAAGGATTACCCCCCTTAATTTTTGCACTCTTTTTGTCCCTTTCCCTTTGTAAAAAGGACTATGTGCTCTTCCCAATCCCTAGGTATTCCCCTCCCCACATTTAATAAATTAGCACCAACCACTCCAAAAATATCCCCCCCGCTTTTAACTTTTCTTTTTTTCCATCAATCCAGCTGCCTTACCCCCTTTAAATTTCCCTATGGCCTCAGAACTTCCCCCCACACTCACAACTGGCTCTTCCTACTTCAAGATGTTTTTCCTTTTCCCCCTATAAATGAAATCACAGCTTCCCTATTTCATAAAAATTTAACATTCCTCAAAATATTCCCCCCTCTTCCCAGTACATCTAATCTCCTTTTAAATAACTCTCCTTCTTTTTTTAACTTAAAATCCATTTGTTCCTAGGTTTCCCTTTAAAATTTTTAAAATTTCTCTTTCCCAAAATTTTTTTCATATTTTCAAAAAAAATTTTTTGATAAATCTCACCCACTTCTTTTTTTGCTCTCTTTTTACATTGTTCACCACTCTCTTAACCTCTCTCTTTTTCTCCTTACTTTCCCTCCTTGCATCACTTCACTTTGTAAAAATTTCATATGCTAACTTTTTTTTCCCTTATATCACTTTAATCTTTTTCCACAATTGTCTCTTCCCTCCCCCACCCCTTTCCTGTAACCACAAATTCTGCTGAACACTCTAACACTACTTTTTTTAAACCCACCCCTCCTCTGACCCCCTTGCCCTTTCTTCATTAGCCCCTCTATCCTCAAAAGCTGTTTATTTTACCCTAAAAATGCCCCCTCTTTTGTTTTTAAAATTCACCTCTTCTTCCCCGATGTTTTTTCTCCTTGTATCCCATTCCTTTTCTCTCAGTGAGGGCAACAAAAAATGATTCTATATTCTGTGACCCCTCATTAATATGTCATCCTGAAGTCTATCAACGTCTTTTGTCACCCAAAACATAATCCCAAAAAACTTGTCATTTCGCCCCCTCATATCTTGTATACTTATTTATCCCCTTTTTTTAAATATGTATTACCCATAAACCAAAAAAAATTTTTCTATAAAACAAGTTAAAACAAAAGGGGTCCCCTTATCATTTACACCTGGACCCCCAAAATTATTACCACACCCCCTCTAAAAGTTTCTCCTCTTTGCATTTGGTCCCCCACCACAAATTTCTCTCCACTTGGTTCAAAGGTTCCCATACATTCCTTACATCTCCCAAAACTCTTCTTCTCCTCTACATTCCTCTTTCTCAGGTGATAAGTTATTTGACCACTTTTCGCTCCAACCCTTTTCTTTAATCCACAAAAACCTTGAATTTCACATTCATTTCTCTTTTCTTCTTCCCTAAAAGATCCTTTATATTTTTGCTACCCTTCCTTTGTTCTAACTCTCTCAGATACTCCCGTTTAAACCATTTATTTCCCCCACCGAAACTCCCCTACCCCCCTTTAGCTTTTTGGGTTTTTGAGGCTAAAACCCTTTGGAGTTTAAAAATTTTGTTTGGGTAAATTCATGGGGGAAGGGGTTGGATGTGAGTGGGGCTTTCACATGAGTTTTAGAAAAAATAATAATTTTTTATTATTTTTAATTTGGAACTGGGAAAGTCTAATTCCCTAGATCAAGAGCCCCCCTCACCCAAAGGGAACTCCCTTGAGAAAGGAAGTTCAATCCTGAAATTTTTTTTTGTGCAAGAAGCAAAAAAAACGACTGAGGACTGTTTGATCCTGAAAAATTCACATGGTGGGCAATCATAAACTGAGGGTTTCCCTGTAATGTGAATAATGGGAAAGTGTTTCTTTTTTGGGTCACCCTACCCGGTGGGGACACCAGGTGTTAAAAAAAAGTTATTACCAATATTCACTAATGCTCTGGTAGAATGGTTGAGTGATTAGTAAGTATGGACACCTGTTTTAAAAGGAAGAGGTATCATGGTTTTTATAATAAACTCTTAACCCTTTGAGGGTCGACAGGGCCTCTCCGAGACTCGTTCTCAGGGTCGGCCAAATTTAAAAAAAAAAAAATAATAATCTTTTCTTATGAAAAGATAGAGAATCTTTTCCCGATCACAATGACACCAAAGTATGAAATTTGATGGAAAACGTACGGAATTATGCTCTCACAAATTTAGCAGTCTTGACGATGTTTACGCATCAGCGATTTTGCCCACATTGAGCCCTATTTTCGGCCAATTCCACTGTACTAGTCGATAAAAAACATGAATATTTCACTAGGAACTCCATTTTTTCTATCGAATGAGTGCAAGAAATCACCATTTACCGATTTCAACTATCCAGTACAGTGGTCAGAATTTAGCAATTTTGCCAATTTCACACAAATTTCAAAAGATGCCAATTTCCGAATAGGGGCTAGAATAAACAAGAAAGTCATTCCTGGCACTAAAATGACATTTCCTCTGTTCATTAGTCATGTCCCAAGGCCCCTCTTACATTCTTTTGCTTTCCACTTTGAATTTTTATTCTCACAAAAAATAGAAGATTTACTGTTACGCAGACTACTGCATTAGTGTAAAAAATGGTATAAATAATATTGGCGCACTTGCGAAAGAATATTAGACTCACCAGTTGACGTGTATTGGGTGCTTGGCATGATTTGTTTGCTTTTGAACTTTGGTAAAAATTGAACATTTCTGCTACTTTGAGCTCAATTTCAAGGTACTTTTCATTGTAAAACCAGTCAAAATCATCTCAATTTCTGTAATATGTCTTCCATTCTATAAAATGAGACCAAGAAAACTAGAATACAACAATAAGTACCATACAAAAATACAGTGCATAGTCGCTGTTTTATTCCAAAAACACGGTCAAAGTTTTTTTTTTCTCATTATGCACTGTGTGCTGCAGGATTTTTTTAATACTGCGCACACTGAACACATAGGCCCATTCTTTCATATGTATGCCTACCAGCTTTCTCCCACTAGATTTTAGGGCGCTAGAATTTAGGCGTACTAGTACGTCAAAAACCCTGGGTCGTAAGCCATACTAGTACGGCCGAAACCCTCAGAGGGTTAATTAAAAAATATTTCAGCAATCCTTCAAAATTACTAGTTTCGAAATTTGCTTATTTTGACAATTTGCTTAACTTTTCATATACTGTATATGAAGAATATAAGAGAGGTTAAAAGAATGGTGAGAAGTGTCAATGAAGGATAGGGTGATACTTTATCATCAAATTTTGCTGAAAATGAGAAGTTTTGGAGTGAGATTAATGAGATTAGAAAGCCTATGAACAAATAGATTTAGTAATTGAAAATAAATGAGGGAAGTCACTTGATGTGTAGATGAAGGCAGTGGGATGATAGAGAGAATATTTTGAGTTGTTAAATTGTTGATGAAGAAAGAAGGGCTATGATTTCATTAATTTTACAGGGAGATAAAACATCTTGTAGGAGAGAGGAGCTAATGTGAGTGTGGGGGGAAGTACGTAAGACTGTAGGAAGAATGAATTTAGGTAAAGCAATTGGGATAGATGGGATCAAGACAGAAATATTAAAAGCAGATGGGGATATAGTTTTGGAATGGTTGCTGTATTTGTTTAATATATGCATGAAAAGGGGGAGGGTAGGAAAACTCTCTAAAGCCTTCAAAGGTAAAACAGAAAATAGGATTACAGAGGAAGAAGGAGGTTTCAAGAAGTGTAGGGAATGTATAAACAAAATGTTTACATTGAAGCATATCAGTAAGCAATAGTTAATGGTAAGGAACTTTTTGTTGCATTTATGGATTTAGAAAAGGCATGTGATAGGGTAGATATGGAAGCAGTGTGTTAGATATTTTAAATGGAATGGGTGGAAAGTTACTAAAAAGTAGTAAAGAGTTGTTATGTGGATAGTGATGCTCAGGTTAGAATATATGAGAAGGAGAAAGATTATTTTTCCAGTAAAAGTAGGCCTTAATCTGGCATGTGTGATGTCTCTATAGTTGTTTAACATATTTATGGAGGAAGGGAGTAAAGAGGGTTTTGAATGCTAGGGGCACAAACAGCCAAATTGTGTGTACGCATTGGACACGAGTGAGTGGAAGCAAGTTGTTTTTATGACATGACATGCTATTTGAGTGTGAGCAAGGTAATGTTGATGAAGGTATTCAAGGAAACCACTTAGCCAGAGTACAGTGCCTGCACTCTGAAGGAGGGGTGGGGATGTTGCACTTTGGAAGCTTATTTGAATTGTGATGTCAGGCAAGACAGTGATTAAATGAGTGATGATGAAGGGGTTTCCTCTTTTTCAGGTCACCCTACTTTGGTGGGAGATGGCCAGTGAGATAAAAAAAAAAGTGGGTCATTTGTGGATGTGTCATCCAGAGTGAGGTGATAAGTGTGCATGAACCCAAATGTTGAGAGAATTTTTTTTTTTTTTTCATATAATGTTAAGTGCAAGTGTTATACTATTAACATTCTTCCACCTCTTCTGTCTCCTTTTCCTCCTCATCCTCTGCTACCTCCTCCTCTTCTCCTTCACTGCCCCCTTCTCTTCCACCTCTCACTCACTCATCTGCTCACCAAACTGAATGTACAGTATTCTAGATTTTCTTGAAATCACGAGAACACAGGTAGATAACTCAAATTTGCATTTGTCATAGTGCACCATGAGTAATATGGCACATGTTGCTGGAAATTTATTGCAAATTTGGAAATACAGTAAATGTTATTCTGGTGACTTTCATTTCAACAATGCTAAATGGTCTTTTGTGCCAGATTTTCATCTAGTTTTTTTGTACAGTTGTGCTCATTGTACCTATTGATCATCATCTGAGGTCATTTACATTCCTTTCACACACAACACAATTTCCTAGTTTTCTCTACCAAAATTTTTATCTCATATGCAGTATTATCTCGGACATGTAGAGAGAATGGAGCAAAACAGAATGACTTCAAAAGTGTATCAGTCTGTAGTGGAAGGAAGGCGGGGTAGGGGTCGGCCTAGGAAAGGTTGGAGGGAGGGGGTAAAAGAGGTTTTGTGTGCGAGGGGCTTGGACTTCCAGCAGGCGTGCGTGAGCGTGTTTGATAGGAGTGAATGGAGACGAATGGTTTTTAATACTTGACATGCTGTTGGAGTGTGAGCAAAGTAACATTTATGAAGGGGTTCAGGGAAACCGGCAGGCCGGACTTGAGTCCTGGAGATGGGAAGTACAGTGCCTGCACTCTGAAGGAGGGGTGTTAATGTTGCAGTTTAAAAACTGTAGTGTAAAGCACCCTTCTGGCAAGACAGTGATGGAGTGAATGATGGTGAAAGTTTTTCTTTTTTGGGCCACCCTGCCTTGGTGGGAATCGGCCAGTGTGATAAAAAAAAAATGCAGTATTAAATTGCAAAACATTGTCATTTTAGCTTTTTTGCTTATTTTCAGGTCTTCACTGGATCTCAAGGGACTTGCTGATGAGCACTTCTATTGACCAAAGATTAACAATTTGGAAACTTCATTATAAACAGGAAAATGAATACCATGAAGAAAGCAGTAGCAATACAGAAAAGATGAGTCAAATAAATTCATGTAGAACCAGGATTTCAGATTTCATAAGTGAAGCTAAAAGTGGGAGTGTGGATAAGTTTTCCATGTTAGCATCATTGGAACCAATGTCTGTTTATTTCACAGGAGTGCCAGATGTGAAAGGTATTGCTGCTGTTGATGTGAATGAGAGTTATGGGATCAGAACTTCTCATGCACAAGAGAAAGCTAAGAGACTGAAGAGAATTTTTGTGTATGGAGTGGGATTGCAAGTTTATGAGCTATACATGGATAGTGATATGGTTGCTTCATGATGTATGTGACATTGTAAACCCAGTGTATGCAATACTCTAAATCACAGTGTATAACATTGTATCCTACAGTATTTGTGGCACTGTAACCCACATGTATGTGACTAACCCATGTACCTCTTACTAGACTGAACATGAAGAACCAATTCTTATTATCTTTATTCTAGATTTTCAATCATTCACACGGTTGTTACCAGTGTTATGCATATCACTACCTTCTACACTACATAATATTTATATTGGCCCTCCAGTTATAGATAAGAATACAATTTGTCCTTTAAAGTTTCTTATGAATTGTGGTTTAGTTGTAAATTATTTTAGTCATGGTATTGTGGTCTGTTTTCTTCAGTACTTTTATACAATATTTTGATATTGTTAATGCATGTGGGTGTTGAGGTATACACAAAGAAGACATTTGAGAGTATTGGGTAATAATAAAAGTTTAAAGAACACAGTTATAAATAGGGCAGCCTGGAGGCTTTTCCTGTCACCACTCCCACCAAGGAGCCATTAGCAATCTTTACTCAGAGACTTTACCAGAGGCTTAATTACACCAGTTATGAATGTCAGCAGATGTATCTATGGAAGATGAAATGATCCATAGAGGATATAAGAGGGAAAAATGTTGGTGGTGTGTTGAAGTATGTTACAAAAAACGCGATTTCTAATAAGCATAGAGATCTCCAGTGAATACTAGAAAGGACTGCCCTTCTAGCATCCAGCCTGTTACTGGGTTTTCGTAATAAGTAGTCAGTATCCTGGTCCAATTATCCATTAGAATTCAGTAAGAATTATTAGTGCTTCAGGATTTCAACTGGTAGGCTACTAACTAAAGAAATTAAAATTTAATAAATTTATTAATAACAAAGTCTAGAGGTATAAGATCAAAGTAAATTAAAGTAATATAAACCAAATAAGAATAATCACGTCTCTCGTGTACAGTAGTATTGTGCTGAAGGCACATATCACATCTTTATGGCTTATAAGTACCGTCTGGTACATTGTTAACATTTAATAACCTAATATACATATATACAAGTAAGTGTGTGTATGTGTGTAAGTGCTCTAAGTAGTTCACTGTGTCTCAGGACTCGACTAGACTTAAACCAGTGACTGACAAAGTCCTCACATCAACTAACTTCTTGACCACCTGGCAATCAGAACAGCTTGCTTGAACAATAAAACAACTGCTAAGCCCAATAACAATATATCAAGCAACTGCAACACAGAATCAGGATCAAGGAGATAATATAATGACACTAAGTAGGGACCATCAGCAGATCCTCCACAAAAGTCACAAAACTCCCATACTACTGAATTAAGTTCAGCATAAGAAAATCCCCAACTGTGACAGTTAGGTCAGAAGCTACAGTTCAGGACCTGAGTTGCTCAGAGTGTCTATGCGACACAACCTCAGTACAGCGTCGAAAATCACTAAGTCTAGACAGTGTTCTGTGAAAAGAGTTCTACAGAACCAACAAAAAGAAAGCGACAGAGACAATCTTCCAACAAGGGCCAATAAGGGAGAGTTAGGCACGTCTTGTCAGGAATACGTCCAACCACCAAGAGAGTCTAGCCCAGACTGACTACTCCAGGCGAGGTGTGAACATCCCCCCTCAATCACGCGATTGCTCCGTGGACAGCTGCTGCCCAACAACACAGAAGCCGGCAGAGTAACGAGCCACGAGCGATAATTACAGTAGTTAGACAATCAAGACTTGAACTATGAGCACTGATTATATATAAATGTTACATCCTACCTAACAAAAGTAACTAAGTCAAATAATAATACAAAGCAATATATTTACGATTTAGCTATTATCGCAAATATTTATTTTATTATCACACTGGCCGATTCCCACCAAGGCAGGGTGGCCCGAAAAAGAAAAACTTTCACCATCATTCACTCCATCACTGTCTTGCCAGAAGGGTGCTTTACACTACAGTTTTTAAACTGCAACATTAACACCCCTCCTTCAGAGTGCAGGCACTGTACTTCCCATCTCCAGGACTCAAGTCCGGCCTGCCGGTTTCCCTGAATCCCTTCATAAATGTTACTTTGCTCACACAACAACAGCACGTCAAGTATTAAAAACCATTTGTCTCCATTCACTCCTATCAAACACGCTCACGCATGCCTGCTGGAAGTCCAAGCCCCTTGCACAAAAACCCTTTACCCCCTCCCTCCAACCCTTCCTAGGCCGACCCCTACCCGCCTTCCTTCCACTACAGACTGATACACTCTTGAAGTCATTCTGTTTCGCTCCATTCTCTCTACATGTCCGAACCACCTCAACAACCCTTCCTCAGCCCTCTGGACAACAGTTTTGGTAATCCCGCACCTCCTCCTAACTTCCAAACTACGAATTCTCTGCATTATATTCACACCACACATTGCCCTCAGACATGACATCTCCACTGCCTCCAGCCTTCTCCTCGCTGCAACATTCATCACCCACGCTTCACACCCATATAAGAGCGTTGGTAAAACTATACTCTCATACATTCCCCTCTTTGCCTCCAAGGACAAAGTTCTTTGTCTCCACAGACTCCTAAGTGCACCACTCACTCTTTTTCCCTCATCAATTCTATGATTCACCTCATCTTTCATAGACCCATCCGCTGACACGTCACATCCCAAATATCTGAATACGTTCACCTCCTCCATACTCTCTCCCTCCAATCTGATATTCAATCTTTCATCACCTAATCTTTTTGTTATCCTCAATAACCTTACTCTTTCCTGTATTCACCTTTAATTTTCTTCTTTTGCACACCCTACCAAATTCATCCACCAATCTCTGCAGCTTCTCTTCAGAATCTCCCAAGAGCACAGTGTCATCAGCAAAGAGCAGCTGTGACAACTCCCACTTTGTGTGTGATTCTTTATCTTTTAACTCCACGCCTCTTGCCAAGATCCTCGCATTTACTTCTCTTACAACCCCATCTATAAATATATTAAACAACCACGGTGACATCACACATCCTTGTCTAAGGCCTACTTTTAACTGGGAAAAAATTTCCTCTTTCCTACATACTCTAACTGAGCCTCACTATCCTCGTAAAAACTCTTCACTGCTTTCAGTAACCTACCTCCTACACCATACACTTGCAACATCTGCCACATTGCCCCCCTATCCACCCTGTCATACGCCTTTTCCAAATCCATAAATGCCACAAAGACCTCTTTAGCCTTATCTAAATACTGTTCCTTATATGTTTCACTGTAAACACCTGGTCCACACACCCCCTACCTTTCCTAAAGCCTCCTTGTTTCATCTGCTATCCTATTCTCCGTCTTATTCTTAATTCTTTCAATTATAACTCTACCATACACTTTACCAGGTACACTCAACAGACTTATCCCCCTATAATTTTTGCACTCTCTTTTATCCCCTTTGCCTTTATACAAAGGAACTATGCATGCTCTCTGCCAATCCCTAGGTACCTTACCCTCTTCCATACATTTATTAAATAATTGCACCAACCACTCCAAAACTATATCCCCACCTGCTTTTTAACATTTCTATCTTTATCCATCAATCCCGGCTGCCTTACCCCTTTCATTTTACCTACTGCCTCACGAACTTCCCCCACACTCACAACTGGCTCTTCCTCACTCCTACAAGATGTTATTCCTCCTTGCCCTATACACGAAATCACAGCTTCCTATCTTCATCAACATTTAACAATTCCTCAAAATATTCCCTCCATCTTCCCAATACCTCTAACTCTCCATTTAATAACTCTCCTCTCCTATTTTTAACTGACAAATCCATTTGTTCTCTAGGCTTTCTTAACTTGTTAATCTCACTCCAAAACTTTTTCTTATTTTCAACAAAATTTGTTGATAACATCTCACCCACTCTCTCATTTGCTCTCTTTTTACATTGCTTCACCACTCTCTTAACCTCTCTCTTTTTCTCCATATACTCTTCCCTCCTTGCATCACTTCTACTTTGTAAAAACTTCTCATATGCTAACTTTTTCTCCCTTACTACTCTCTTTACATCATCATTCCACCAATCGCTCCTCTTCCCTCCTGCACCCACTTTCCTGTAACCACAAACTTCTGCTGAACACTCTAACACTACATTTTTAAACCTACCCCATACCTCTTCGACCCCATTGCCTATGCTCTCATTAGCCCATCTATCCTCCAATAGCTGTTTATATCTTACCCTAACTGCCTCCTCTTTTAGTTTATAAACCTTCACCTTATATACATTGTGACCCATTCAGGGGTCGCAACAAAGTATGTGTAAAGAAAGAAGTCTATGTATGGAGGAAAAAAGGGTTTGTACCAGACTATAGTGATACTATCACTTTTGTATGAGTGTGAGCATAAGTTTTGAATGGTGCAGTGAAAAATAAAAATGCTAGAGGCAGCCAGGATGTCATGTTTGAGAGTAGTGTGTGGTATGAATATCATGTAGAGAGTTTGGAGCCTAGAAATTAAAAAGTAATGTGGGGTCACCAAGAGTAAATTTCAGAGGGCTGAGGAGAGGTTGTTGAGGTGGTTTGAGCATGTATAGACACTAGAGAGGGAGAAATTGATAAAAATAGTATTAGTCTGGGGTGGGAAGGTAGATGGGAGTTGTCTCAAGAATAGTTCTAGGGAAGGGGTAGAAGAGGCTTTAAAGTTTTAGGGCTAGAGCATCCAGCAGGTGTAGTGAGGCATGTTAGATAGATTTGCAGGGAAACAAATAGTTTTAATGGACATGCTATTGGGGTGTGAGTAGGGTAACATTATAAAGGATTCAGGAAAACCAGTTACCTGGACATGAGTCCTTCAGTTGAGAGGGGCAGTACCTCATTTTGAAGAGAGGTGAGAAAGTTGCAGTCTGAAGGCTAATCTGAGTGTGATGTCAGCACACTTTTAGAAAGACTAGGTTGAGCAAAGGTTGGTAAAGGTGTTTTTCTTCTTTGTCACTCTTCCTTGGTGGGAGATGTCCATTGAGTTAAATAAAATGAATATACAAATGTAAATGGAAAATGAAACTTTAAAACAGAAGTATTTAGATGAGCAAAATGAGAAAATGTTTTATTTGTTTGTAGAAATCATATTAAATGTGAAAGATAAAATATAAGAATATAAAATTAGAGCAAGGAGTAGTGGTAATATTAAATGATCAATTAGGGAAAAGAAAAAGAGGAAATTATATGGATTAAAATTTAGGGTGGGATGGGGAGAAGTGGTTTAATAATGTCTTATTCATCTGGGAAAGAGAGGACTAGAATACAGAATTTTGGGAGGAATCAAGTGAGTGTTAGGGAGTTTTGAACCAAATGAGAAAAATGTTTGGAAGGGACCTGAATGCTAAAGTGGGAGAAACTGTTGTAAAAGGTGAAAGTAAAGAAAGTTTGGAGTGCCAGGGTAAATGATAATGGGGGCCTCTAATTGAACTATGTGTAGAAAAAGATTTGGAATAGGTAATACAGTGGAACCTCTGTTGTTGAACTTAATTTGTTCCAGATTTGGTTCAAAAAACCAAACCAATTTTTTCCCATGAAAAAATGTAAATAGAATTAATCCATTCCAGACCAAAAATGACAAATAATATTTTTTTATTAATTAATAATTTACTAACTACTACATAAAACAATGTATAAAATTATACAGCTCAGGAAACAGTAAAAATTAATATAAAATTAAAATTTAATTGAAAAATCTGTACAGTAAATTAAAATTTAACTGCCTCTTACCTGTCAGGGGGAGAGCCAATGGTATACTGGAAGCAGGAGGAAGAGGAGAGGAGGGAATGATGTTACTGTTTGGGAAAGGGAAAGTCACCTAATAAATGTTCAGGCAACTCTCCTTCTCCTAGGTAGTAGGTTGGTAAACAGAAACCCACCCGGGGAAAGGTACTACCGTCCTGCCAAGTGAGTGTACAACGAAAACCTGCAATTTTTTTTACATGATGGTAGGATTGCTGGTGTCTTTTTGTCTGTCTCATAAACATGCAAGATTTCAGGTATGTCTTGCTACTTCTACTTACACTTAGGTCACACTACACATACATGTACAAGCATATATATACACCCCCCTTTCCCCTGGGTATTTTTCTTTTCTTTCTAGTTCTTGTTCTTGCTTATTTCCTCTTATCTCCATGGGGAAAATGGAACAAATTCTTCCTCTGTAAGCCATGCGTGTTGTAAGAGGGACTAAAATGCTGGGAGCAAGGGCTAGTAACCCCTTCTCCCATATAAATTACTAAATTTAAAAAGAAAACTTTCGTTTTTCTTTTTGGTCACCCTGCCTTGGTGGGATATGGCTGGTGTGTTGAAAGAAAGAACTCTCCTTCTGGTGATATTTCTCTTTTTTGTCTTTTTTCACCACTAACACCCTGTTCTGGCCACTGATTCTTTGTCTCACCAAAACCTGTTCAATGAGGTTTGTTTTTAGGGTTTCCCTTTAACATTTGTCTGAATTGAGATATTACAGTGTATTGTGCATGTTAAAACTGATAGATGGCCACTACTTTGTCTGGATGGTATTTTTCAGCAAACTTATGCACTTCATGCCATTTAGTTCACATTTCCTTGACAAATGCAATGGGGACATCATCCATTCCCTCCTCTTCCTCTGATGACAGCTCCTTTCCTGCAATCTGATGTTGCCTTTCTGAAGGTCTACAAGTTCTGTGGTGAGTTCAGTTCTGTGCTACTCCACCAACTCCTTCACATCATTTTCAGTCACCTCTAGGCCCAAGGTCTTCCCCAGGGACACAATATTCTTTACCAGCTCAGGCTCATCTTCAAAGCCTTCAAAATCCCTGGCTGCCACAAAGTCATGACACAATTTCTTTCCCTGCTGACTGCATGGTCTGGGAAACAAGGCTCCCGGCTTTGTCTATAAAGCCTCAAGTAGGCAAGGATATTGAAAAAGGTCCTTCCAGAACTCCCTGAGGGTTAACTTGGTTTCTGAAATGACTTCTAAGCCCTTTCAAAAAGTGCTTTGCTGTAGTGTTTCTTGAAGTTTGAAATGACCTGCTGGTCTATGGGCTGGGTGAGAGGAGTGGTGTTAGGGAGGCAAGAACTTCACAGTTATAAAAATGACCCCCTCTAGCAACTCATTTTCCAAGCTTGGAGGGTTGAGCAGGAGCATTATCCATAAGTAAAAGGACCATGATTGGA